AAGAATTTAAATAAATTCAGAATGTAAAATCAAATCTTAAATTCTTAAGAGTTTACTTTTAATAATAAATAACCATTAAAAATATAAAAGTAAATAATTAAAGTATAAAATATAATTATAATTTAATTTAAATATAAATTATTAAAATTAAATCTATTTATATTAATAGATTATCATACTCACTCAACATAAAAATTTTAAAATAGGATAATTTATTATTGGTATTTCTTATTTTATTTTTTATTAATATTACTCTTAAAATTTTATTTTTCTTTGAATTGAGTCCTATCACTATTATAAACTAAGTTCTACATAGTATGTACTTAAATTCATTCAATTTAGTGAAAAAAATTGATGAGTTAAACAAGTTTAAATGAGTTTGCATGATTCAAGTTTATGAATGAGTAGCTAGAAATTAAAAATAAAAATGGTAAGTTTGAAAAGTTAATTCAAGAGTTTAATTAAGTTTATAGCTAATTTGAATTTATGAGCACTATTGAAATCAACGAGAGTGAAAGCAGATTTATCATAAGATTATATAGCCAATTTATATATTAAACGTGGGACATATAAAATATAATCATCAGTTCAAACCAAATCGCTTCAAAAATAAATTGTTTCAGGATACAGTATCTATTGTCGGTCGCATTGAAACGCATTCATAAAAGTCGACAAAAATATGTTAAAAAATTCAGATAAAATTACTCAATTAAAACAAGCAAGAAAATTAAAATTAGTCTTAATTTGTTGGTGTTACGTTATATACTCCTGCAAATAAGTCAATAATATCTCGTAATTGAAGATAGAACCGAAATGCACCTAACAATGAAAACATTAATTAGTGCACGTTGCAATATAATGAAAATTAAACCTTGGCAATAACTTCGTACTGTCTAATTAGTTGAGATGTTGAAATTTTCAGATAATATTGTTTTATTTATATGGTATACCAAATACCAACTCATATTAGGCAGGCCGAAAATGCTAAAACGCGAGTCTACCAAATAATTTAATGTAGATTGATCACATCAGTATCTACAGAAAATCCAATTTGATTGGAATTTAATCCATGAAAATAATTAATGGTCCCATCAAGGAGCTGGATTATCCTAATATTTTAAGAATTGGATAGATAAGCTGACCACAGAAGCGACTGTAAATAATATAAAAGTAAATGTATGTTTATATGATTATGCCCTCAAAGCAATTTCCATTGCTTATTTATTTGTTTTGTTATTTCTTGCACCTTCGCTGGGGATCACTGGCACCAAATATTTAATTAATTATATCAAATCAATTTAATAACTTGCAGATAGTAAAAATCAATGATAGGGAAAATGGCACGGAAGAATGTATATCTCTGACATGCTTAGCACGTGGGTCTCAATAATTTTGTCCAATTTTTTTATTAGTTAATCGTTCATTTTGACGGCCATGACAAATAAATCTCTCTAAGTGATATTTTAGCCCTTTAAAATATAACAATGACACATAGATTTTAATAGATTTTTTAAAGTTAAATTTATATGTAAAATTACTTTAATAATTTTTTATAGTTTAAACCGTTTTACTCATTATTTAATTTTCAAATATTTATATTAAATTTATAAACGACCCAAAATTAATTGGTTTTACTAATAAAAGGTTGCAATTTTTTAAATTATTTTAATTATTAGTAAATATCAAACATATAAATCATATAAAATTAGTTGAACTTTACTAATTGAAAAAAAATTACAAATAGGAAGTTGCAATTTCCTAATTTGTTTTAATCATTAGTAAAACTAAACTTGTAAATATTTATACATAACTTACAAACTATATAAAATTAGTTACAAAGAGGTGCTAATATGATTTCATACATAAATTTCATCATAAAAAAGTTTATTCAGACCTCATTACCATTGTCATATTTTATAAGGTTAAATTATTATTTTACTTTTTCAAAAGAATTTATCTCTCATTCTCCCTAAATTAAAAGCCACACACGCCAAAACCAAACACCCAAATGATTTGAGAAAATCACATAAAGAGGTCCGAGAGAACAATTCTAATTCAAAAAATGATGATAAATTTTTATAAATTATATAAATAATACTCTGATCCCTTAAAATGTAACAATTTTAGTAAAGTCTTCAAAGACTTCTTCATCAATAAATTTTAAATTAAAAATATCATTTTACTTTTAATGACAAATTATAATTTCTTTTTGAATTCTTACGATTCTTTAAAATAAAAGTTATAATTCTTTAAACAAAAGATGTGAGTGAAATTTATTATTTTGAGAACTTATTTTTTAATAATAAAAATTATACTGAATAAATTATAATTTTTTATTCAACTCTTGCGATTCATAGAACAAAAGTTATTAATTTTCAAATAAAAGTTATTATTAGGAGTTGGATTTCCTCCTCTGCAAAGGAGAGAGAAATGCATATATGGACCATTAAATTGAATTTAAAAATTTTGATTTGATAATTTTAAAAATATATATTTAATTTAAACAGTTTAAATTTGCAATAGAGAAGCAATGGAGGAAAAAAGTAAAAGAGAGAAACCCACTCCTTGTGACTGGGGCTTATTTTTTAACAATATAAATTACATTTGACAAATTATAATTTTTTATTTATCTCTTGCGATTTATAGAACAAAAATTATGATTGAAGCTTGTTATTTTAAGAAGAGTAAAATCATCTTTTCACTTTAAAATTTATTGATATAGAGATTTTTAAAAACATCATTAGAACTATGATATTTTGAGTGACCAAATTATGATTTATATAATTGAAAAGGATTTTATTGTCATTCTTCCAATCTAATTATTAAAATATCTTGCTAGGTATAACAATAACTCCAAAATTTCATAGAGTTTTTTTTAGGTGAACTAAATTTCATAGATTTTAATTTCAAATAAATGTTATTTTGAATTTACCAAAATATCCTTATTTAAAAACAATAAAAAAGTCTCCTCCAGTGGTTGTTGTTGCTGTTCAATGGCCAGCCGCTGAAGCACTAATGCCACTACTACTTCCAATTGGCTACAGCCATCATAATTGTTTGCCGGTTGACTGGTGACTAGCGCCAACAATCATAGAATTAGATTTTTTTTTTTGTATTTTTTAATTGAGGACATTTTGTTTAATGCATTACAAGACTTTTTTTTTTAAATCATTTGTTTAAATTTTTATCTCTAATTTAGCCCTTCACTGTAGAAAAAGAAGACACGCACATGCATGCTTATAAATATGTCAATATTAGATTTCAATCTGAAACCTCTTTCAAGTTAGGGAATGGTGTTGTCCTGAGGACAATTAACTAGCCATTGACAAACCTTTTTACCATTAAAACTTATGGGATTTTAGAGTTAGTTTTACATTTTATAGGATGTTTTGTAATTAAAATTTTTCTATGGGACTTTTGTTTGATTCTCTTAATGATTTCTCAAGCATAGTCAACTCCGGATAGTTTCTTTGTTAGAGGAAGTCAGTAAAGCTAAATATAATCAGCCTCAACTTTTGACTAATATTTTTAATAAAAAATATCGTACCAAATTCTCATTTTGTGTAACCCTAATCCTTACTAATTGTTAGGCAAAAATAAAACTAATTAAGTTTACGAATGTGGTAAATGTTACATTTGTCTTAAATTTCTTTTTAAGATGTGTTGTTCACGTTTAAGTTGAGGATATATAGCACAATGTTGTCCTTCATTTATTACAAAACGAAACAATGTTGCCCGTCTTTTAAATATATGTTAATTTAACCGTTAATTTATTTAAAAACTTATTGAGAAATACTTAGAAAATAACTTTATAACAAAATATGGATTAAGTCCTTTCAATTATAAACGACTCCTGCAAGTATAATAATTTTATTTCTTATTACTCATATAAAAGATTAAAATGTTACTTTAACTAACCAATTTGACCTGTTATTTATAGGATCACCAATGATGACAAACATTAATACGGATAAATAATTGAAAATGTAAAATTTTTAATAATATCTTATTAAAAAAATAAATATGTAATATTTCCTAGTCAAACTTTGTAAATATATGATTTTTTGAAAGATTTATAATTTTTAGATATATCAATTAGTGTAAAACACATTTACCTATAAATTTACAAAACTATAGTTTAGTTGATAATTTTTAAAAGATTATTTAGAAATTTTGGAGAAATATTTATAAATAAAAATATTTAATTAAATTATTAAATATTAAAGTATTGATAATTTATTAAAAAATTTTAAAATAAACATAAAAAATTTTAATTACTTACCCATGTTTCCTCCATTGGTAATCTCATAATCACCCAATAGGTGGTCAAAGTAATTGGTTAAAATAGTATTTTAGTCTTTTATATAAGTGAAAAATGACATTAGTCTATTACAATCTGTTTGTAAATCAAAGAACTTAATCAATATTAATGTTTTTATAAATTTTTTCTTTATAATTGTCTAGATACTTCTCTAAAATGCGTTAGATCATCTAATAATTACATTAAATTAATAAATGTTTAATGAAGCAGCGACATTAATTTATTTTCAATAATTGTGTGGCAACATTTCACCACTCTTAACTTGAGAGTGCGGACCGCACCTAACATTTAAAAAAAAAAAAAGAATTGATGAAAGGCAAATTGGCATTTGACCCATGAACCAATTACTAGAATGAGATCAGTTGATATTTTTCTTCAAACTACTGTGGAGAGTTAAACAATATTTCCCCCAATCTCACCCACACGTGCTTAATTAAAATCCCTCTCTTTTAATGTTTGTTTAAAGAAAACAATACTTAATTTGAGTCGTAAGTGGTTTATTGATGCGAACATAAACAGGTGGCGTCTGGTTGCAGAAATGAACAGTAGTGATTCAATAATTACAATGTAAAATAATCCCCTTCGAGGATATGCGAATAGAGATCTTTGTCACATAATAATTAGGTTACCTCATAGGAGATTAGGATTAATATATTAGCATTTATATAAACCCTTAAAATGCATCATCTAGCTTCTCTCTAGCCTCTAAGCTATAAGCCTTAAGTTTCCCAATCCATAGACAGTCAAATTCGAGAATAATTTTAAGGTTCTGTACAATATCATTGAGCAGATCATCATCATCATGTTTCCTTTACAGCGAGGCAATGAGCTGGTGATCCAATTTTCCATGAGTCCCGATTCTCAGCACCAACAAAGTAAGATCTCACAAGATCCGATTCTGGATGATAGAAAAATAGCCAACACCTCAACAGGGAACATACTTTCTCAAGTCACCAGCAATAAGAATAATAACAATCCTAACGGGTACAAGAAGAAAAAGATGATTCACAGAGAGATTGAGAGGCAAAGGAGGCAAGAAATGGCTTCTCTTTATGCTTCTCTCAGATCCCTTCTTCCTCTTGAGTACATCAAGGTGAACAACATACCTTCTCTCTCCTTCTTGTTTCTTCTGATCATTTATAATTTTTTTCCCAAGACAACCCCATCGGTGTAAAGGAAGGTTTTTTTTTTTTCCCCCTCTCATGCGATTAATTAGTGTGACGGGGTTTTTTCAGGGAAAGCGATCGATATCAGATCACATGAATGAGGCTGTGAGTTATATAAAGCATCTACAGAAGAACATTAAAGAACTTGGCGCCAAGAGAGATGAATTGAAGAGACAGTACTCAGATAATTCTTCTTCTAACTTGGAAACCCCTGATGAGGGCCAACAGAAATCGATAAGCTTCACTGTTCATGAGAATAATAATGGTGCTGTGGGAATCGAAATTATCAGGTACTTGGAAGATGAAAGGTTCCTCCTTTCAAAGTTTCTGGAATTAGTGCTTGAACAAGGACTTGAAGTTGTTACTTGTCTCTCTAGCCAAGTCAATGGTAGAATACTTCATAGTGTCCACTGCGAGGTAATTAATATGCATTATTCTTAGTTTATATATTTCATTTAAGCTAATTTTACTCTAGTTAATTATATAGTGCTTGATCTATACAGGTTAACAGTTCCAATAGTGTAGATCTACCTGAGCTGAGAAGGAAAATTGCAAGTTTCTCTTCTTAGATATGTTCAGGTTATGATTGGATGAGAGCTACAACTATGGCATTAGATAGCTTTATCCTTTTCGAACTGGATGATTAGCAAACTTTTCTTGGGTGAGTTTATGTACATATTTTCCTCTCTCTCTCTCTCTCTCTGTGTGTGTGTGTGTGTGTGTGTGTGTGTGTGTGTGTGTGTTCCATTTTCGTACCTTGCTTTGATTATTACATATAATGATGGAAGGAAGAAGAATATTGCATTAGGATAGAGAAACATTTTAATTTCTTTTTCCTTCCCATCTTCATGCTCTGATATATCAAAACCGATCATCATCTGTATTTGCTCTGAGAAATTTCCTGGTCTGCAATACTACACAGTGGTTTGTAAAACTGAAGTAGCAAGTAGCTTCCTTAGGTTTTTATTGGTTTCTTTATAGGTAAATGATGAATTTCTGATAATTGATGTGAGCTAAATCGTTGGGAAAACTTCTCTTTCTATGACAGTGTTTTCTGTTTTTCTTCTCCTTGAAAAATCTTACATGCCATAGCTCTTCTATGACTTCCGTATTGTTAAATGTGAGAGTACATACTCAGGCATAACTCAAAAGTTATCAAATGGATCTGTGGCTTATGACTGATCTGTATTTTTTGCGTACTAGGATTAGCTTAATTGACTTTTGCTCAATATGCTAATTAAACGAGCTATAGAATGGCATGGATAGTTGGTTTTTGCTATACTGCGAGGTGTTGTGCTCTCTCTCTCTCTCTCTCTCTCTCTCTCTCTATATATATATATATATTATAATATCTATATCATTAAAAGTTGTGCCGGTTTATTCAGTGAATAACTATTGATGATTGAAAGGTAGAAGCATGCTCATTATTGATTATATTCTGATGAAAGTTCATATTTACCAAGTGTGAATGCGTTTTTCCATTGAGCTAGCTACGTGACTATCGAAAGTTTAAATATGGAAAGTATTAATGATTTTACAAGCTTAAAGCATTTCCAAGTTATTATAAGAGTGTACGTTAAGGAGTTCTTTGATATTATTATTATAAATTAAGCACAACGGTTTTGTTGTATTTCTGAAGAGTATTGCCATTAATCTTTAGCAAACACATGTGAATATGAGGCCAAATTTCTACTAAGTGACCAAATCATACTCTGAATCAAATTTCTGCAACATTATTTTCTGTCAATGTGTATCCCTCGAACTTCTTCTGTGTTTACCTTCAGATAACCAATAATCAATTAATAGCAAGACATTAAGCACATAATTAACATGCATATATAACTTCGTATTGATTATATTTTCTTTAATGTTGTTAAAAAACGTATTTTCTTTAAACTTAATACAAATTCATGTATACTAATTAACCTAATAGGTTACACAAGGGGTTCACAAATGTGATACTCATGAGTCAGTAATTCGACCATAACTCATCCCACGTTTAACAATATATATATATATATATATATCTAAGTGCCTGCATCACTGCATGCATGATGACACCAATTACGCGAATGATTATTAATTCATTTTATTAATATGCTAATCTTAAAAATTCAAATGTTGATCTTGGAAAAGCATGGTGCTTTCGTGATATTTAGCAACCTTATTATAAATTTATGCAGTAATAAGATATATATCTATATATATATATATATATGGAAATGCATGGTGCTTTGGTGATATTTAGCAGCCTTATTATAAATTTGTACAGTAAAATAGCAATTTATTAAAATAGCCAATAAAATAGCACTTTAAATATCTTCATGTATTGCTTAGTCCTCTCCCATGATTAACAAGATTTGTAGTAGTAGTTGAAATAGTTGACTTATTATTGTTATTACAATTAACAATAGTAAAGATTTTGTTACACCTACTCTCTAAGACTACTTTCAAAATTTTCTGAGCCAAATATAAAAAATAGCTTGTCATCTGGAACTTGCTTTCATTAATTACTTTTTGTTTGTTAAAGGCATTACGTTTGGCCTCACTAATTAACAAATTAAATCATCAACCTAAAATGCCAAGATAATGGGATCAATAATATCAAATATATCTTCAGGACAGAAGATATTCTTCAATCAGGCCATTCAAAGACTTTTTTTATTTCTAGACTTAGGCTTTGTTTGGAATGGGGAAAAATTAAGAAAGAAAATTTTTTAAAAATGATATTTTTTTATCATTGTTTTTCCCTGATTTTTCTCTAGAGAAAGGGAAGGAAAATGCCTTTTTCTTCTACTTTTGACAAAGAACCAGATGTCTAGTTGGGACATCCCATGATGCGTTTTATAGAAGTCGAGACTATAATATTGATCACAATTTTCTATTAATGGTGTCACTTCAGTATAGTAATACTCTGTGTGTGAGCGCACGCGTGTTTGTGTGTGTGTTGATTTTTGTTTTGCCTAACCAAATTTGTGATATCCTTATTAGAATAAATTTATATATATATATATATATATAAGTTACTATGATTTTTTTGGGGGGGGGGGGGAGTGTAAGTTAGAGTAACCCCTTCGGAAGTTGTACACTCAAAATTTTGATTTAGTCCAAGCACAAGTAGAATAGTACTAAAACTATACTTAACAGGAGAGAAAAGTAAGAGGAAAAGAGAAATGTGAGAGAGAAAAGTAGGGAGAAAATGTCTTTTTTTTTTTCTTTACCTCCTTGGCTAAGAGGAGAAAAATGGGGGAGAGGAAAGTGAAAAAAAAAAAAATTATGAGTCCCACATATTTTTACCTCCAACTTTTCTTTTTAAATATAGAGGGATTTTGAAGTGAAAACTCAATTTTCAAAATTTTCCCTCTATTTTTATCCTAATTTTCTCTCCACTTTATAATTTAGACTATTATATATTTAATAATTTAAGAAATAAAATCTAAAATTGGACAAAATACTATTTTTTGGCTAGCATCAAATAAAATAATTTACAATCATATTTTTATTCAATAAATAATATATAGTAAAAATTATACAAATAATATGTTAAAATATTAAACTTAATATAAATATTTTTTAAAAATAATAAGTTTATTATTATTCATACAAAATTAATAATTTTTCCTCTTGTCTTTTTCTTTTGCCCTGCCCAATCAAATCTAGGGAAAGAAAATTACATCTTCTTTACTTTTTTTCTTCTTTCCATTTGCTCTCCTCTCATTTTCTCTTAGAAAAAATACATTCAAGTCCCACAGAAGTAAGTTTATTATCGAGAGGTCTCATGAATTTCATAAAATATTTTTAAATTTCAAATTTTGTGCATTGACAACTAGGTAACTGCCATTTATAACTTATAATTGTAAGTTATAAATGTTAATGCCTTTAATCAAATTGTCAATGCGCAGGACTTAAGAGTATGTTGTAAAATTTATGGGACCTCTTAGTAATAAACTTCCTCCTATGGGACTTGAATGTAATTTTTTCTTTTCTCTTCTCCCAATAGCCAAGGCAGCAGAAACAAATTTGCTCCTTTCTTCCTTGAAGCAACAACAATGGTACTCTTAATATATAGCCAATTGCATTATTGTTCCATTTCCCAGATTGAGAAATATTTCTCATTTATCTCTAGGTAAAGAGAAAATTTGCATTGGAAGTTTTTTGCCAGGTGTAACTAATATTCTCAACTTTTAATTGATGCAATATCACCCTAAAAGTTTCATAATTGGTACAATTTTATCCTATAGTAACGATTGATTATTGTTGACTATTAGTTAAAAATTTTGACTAGGGTTCAAGAGCAATTTTTCCTTGAAAATTTTTTTTAGAAGAGCAATTTTGCCCCAAAAATTTTTTCTAAAAGAGAAATTTGTATCTTAAACTTTCTATTAATTCAATCTTTTTGGATTGTCAATGTTCAAATAAGAAGAAAATTCTAATAACCCATTATCATTTTTTATAATGGTTCATTTCAAGATTTTGAGTTGAGGTTTTACTCGAGATTTTTTTAATATCAAATCAACTCTACTCCAAGCACTCCACAGGCTTTCTCTTCAAGTTCAAACTTGCACTTATTTTTCCCATGAGCAGGTCTTGACTTGCACTTGCTTAAATATAAACTTGTTTAGTTTTATTCATGACCAACATAAACTAGCTTGGATTCAGATTTAGAGGCATTCAAGGTAATTCAACCTAAAATCTTTTTTGGATTTTGGGTTATAAAAAGTTGCTCAATCCTTCTTTTGATTTGAAAGTTGATGACCCAAAAATATTGTGTCAATTAGAAGTTTAGGATAACAATTGCTCTTTAAGAATAACTTTTAGGACAAATTTGCTTTTTCCAAAAGAAACTTGAGGACAAAATTGCCCGTTAACCCTAGTCAAAATTTTCAACAATCAACGTTGGTCAAACATTACTTTAGAGCAAAATTGTTCCATTTTTGAAACTTTCAGAGTGATCACATTGCACCAATCAAAAGTAAAGGATATTAGTTCCACCTAGTAAAAAATTGGGCAAATTTTCCCTTTAGCCATTAGTCTTTTAATCACATTCCATTTTTACTAGTTAAATAAACTCTTTCTTCAAAAATTTATCACTTAGCTTGCACCCTTTTGTTAAAATTAATTGTGACTAACTAACTTGGATTATAGCATGAATGGTATAGAGATCATTCTTGTCATTTAAGAAAGCTTGTAGTGTATAATTCTCAACTTGTGTATAAAAGAAACCTAACTGGTTAGAAGAAATTTACCATTTACTTTTAGCATCAATTTGTGATCATATTAATTTGGGTTAAAGTACAATTTTCCTCCTATATGTTCCTTTAAGGAGTGTTACGTGCTGAGTCTTATATTTTGATAATAAAAACTAAGAGAAAGGTGTTTTTTATTTGTGCAAATCATATATACATTAACAAAGTCACAAAACCTCCAAGGGCATGAAGATCAACAAAAGACATAGTTTTATAGATTTATTTATTTTTTTCTTACTACTATAGAACTAGGCTTTGATGGCATTTAAAATTATAGTTTCGTAGCAATTATAAAACTCTATAAGATTTAATGCTATAATAGATCTCTAATGGTGTTTCACTAATTAATAAAATGCCACAAGATTAATGTAAGAATGAGGGCATTTTATTTGACAAATATCACCTCTTTGGGTTTTTTTTTTTTTTTTAATCAGAGATATGGCATTTCCAACTAGCTGAAACACCACAGCTCTCCATAATTTGATTAACAGAGATGACATTTCTATATGGTATAAATGCCACCTCTTTCATTAAAAAAAAATGCCACCTCTATTATTTATTTTTTAAAAATTTTTAATGTTGAAAGAGGTAGCATTTCAACATCCTAGAAATGCCACCTCTTATTTATAATTTTTTATTAAATTTTATTATATATAGGTGGTGTTTTTGGAAATTTGAAATGCCACTTATTTGAATGTTAGAGAGGTGGCATCTCTATTATTAAGAAATGCCACCTCTCTTCAAATTTTTTTAATTAAAATTAAGATTAGGTGGCATTTCTGTCATGAAAAAACACCACTTAATGTAAATTTTTTAAAAATAATTTTTTTCAAAATTTTATGTACCCAAAATTTTTCTCCTTTAAAAAAGAGATCTAGCAATATAATTTAACTAGTTTAGAATAGTTTACATATAATTCAACTGTGCTACACAACATATCTTATAGCAATACAACAAATAAGTTTATACAACTATATTAATATATCTAAGTTTTTTATCTAGTAAAAAGTTCCAATAGTTTCCAATTTTATAAAACTATTTAACAATTAACAATGTTATAACGTACTAAATCCAAAACAGAGAACGACCATTTTTCAGTTAGATCATAAATTTACTTATCACTATATTTTAAACACTTTGCATCCTCATAGTACTATAAAATATATTAAAATAAGATGTCATAAATAACAAAAAATAATCAAACTCAAATGAAATTAAATTTTCCTATATCAAATGGGACAAAAATTTGATCAAAAATGACCATGTCCTTCATGAATTTTATAATATAGTATCCACGACCATCCTCATTTGGTTGGAAAGGGAACTAAAAACTATCAAAAAGTAATGTTAATTTTATGAATGAAATAAATTTATTTTCAATAATTCAATAAAATCTTTAAAGTATAAATATACCATAATTTTTTTCCATTAATATATTTTAGAGAATTCTTTATTTATAACCAATGTTTCCAAAAAAAATTAAATTTGATTATGTCTTAATAAATTTGAGGCAACTAGCACAAGAAAAAAGAAATAATAAATAAAATACTTACCCAATATTATAAGGTATTAAGAATAATTTTTTTTTTCAACTTCTATCTTTTTTGTAAACATTTCTTTTACAAGATTTACTTATTCAGATGACTTAATATCGACCCATGACTATTGTCGTGAGGACTAATAAATGTGAATCTATTCTTTCTCTCCGTCTCTTTCAAAAAGGTAATGTACAAATACCTTGATAAATACCAAAAAATTATATTAAAAAAAATCACAGCAGGTGATAAAAATGATCAATATTAAAGAGCGTTATGAAACAAATACCTTATTCATGTATTGATATCAGAAACATTGGCTCATTCTTGATTAAGTATTTCCATAATGGTATTTTTATTGAGATATTTTCAACTATCATTACAATAGATTTCTTCAAATTTTATTTCAATTATTTAGCCATTAGCAATAAGCCTTGGCAAAAGAGACTAAAGAACGTCACGGCAATTATTAGCCCTTTTCATTTTCGAAGCTCCATGAGATATACTTTTTACTTATAAAGGGCATTAGATTCCTTAGAGATATTACTATATGCTTCAATCATTTTCTTATTTTTTTTTCCATTGAGTCTGTAAAAATAAAAAACTGAAGTCATAAAATTATAATTATATCTAGAAAATTATAAAAAATTGTGAATTCCACAATTACCTTATCAAAAAACTCAATAAGATATAAAGGCCAAGCAACAAAAGTCTCATCTACATCTTTAACTAATACAATATCATCATTAAGAAGTATTGGTAATTTGGCATCATCATTAGTGTAAATGTCCATAAAGACTCACAATGTGCCAAAGTATAATGGAATCGTGTGTAAAGTGCTTTCAACAAAATTGTAAACAGTACCTATGGCAACTATATTTTTAAGGAATTTTTTGTACGCAATTTGCATTTTGATTCCCCCTAGAAAAAAAAAATTAGCCATTTATATTGTAAAAATGATAATACCCTTAAAATTTGTCTAGAAAAAGTATTACCAAGGGGAGAGCCAGGTGGTTTGACATAAAAGTATGACTACTCTCAAACTAGGGCTTTTAACTATTAGAACTTTACCAGACCCTACCGCATCATAGCATTCATTTGCTCAAATAATTCCCAATTTTAGTCTTGTAATTGATAATATTGTTCTTCATAATGCTACTCACGCAAATTCTATTCTAGCATTTGTTGCTAAAATACGCATTTATTTCCTCTTTTAACTCAACAATAATACTCTTGTTTGAGCGTTTTCAGCCCCCGAAACAAGTAGTTTGGATAACACCAAAACCAACTCCTATAACACGATTAGGGACTTTGGGAATATTTAATACTCTACTGAGGATGTCTTCATGGCCAAATTGTCGTGCTTCTTCTAGCCTTTTTTGTGACAAAGTTGATGTTATATAAGGATCATAACAAATTATTTATGAAATAAAATCATTTAAATAAAATTTTAAACATAAATACTTTTACTTAATCAAGTCTGCCAAACTTGCCTCATACCTTCATCTTCAACTTCACCTTTTGAATTTGGTTGTCCTTCAACCCACACTTCATGCTGAGTAAGTTGTTCACAATTTAAATTGTCTTTTTTTTATCTACATAAGCAATTAACTTAATTCATAAATCAATCAAACTTATGTAATATATGCATGTAATGATTATTAAATATAAGGTATATGCTTTATCTTGTTCAATGAATATGTATCCTTTTTGTCCCCTTCAGAAGCAATATTTTTGGCTTTCCACTAATTGGCAATATCTCTAGCTTTTCATCTATTAATGTAAATTAAATTCATATTAATTTTATATGAGTAAAAAATTATATTAAATGGAAAAATCTAGTATTAATTACCTTGAATTCTTCTGTTGTTTGCACTACAACAACTTCATCCCTATCTTCTTGAGATATGATCACATCATGAAGTTTCAGTGGGGGTTCTCTTGAGATATGATTCCATCAAAAAGTTCTTTTGGGTGTTCAAGAATATTTTGATTATTATCTATTAAATATCATTTGCAAATATCTACACTGAATTTTCTAAGAAGTACTCCAGCTTTTTTTAAGGACATATCCTCTGTGAGTCTCTTCAAGTTCAAAACAAAATTGCAACAAAGAAAGAACATTTGAATCACTATATATGCAAGAAAACATAATAAAAAAGATAAAATATTAATAACTTTATTTTTAACTCAAATTGTTCCCATGTTAATCTTTTGTATTCATTTAAGCTTTTCTCCAATTAGTAAATATAATAGACACATAGTTTCAAACCACAACCCTAATATAACTAACTAATTTTTCACCATTTGGTTTTATTGGGTAACCCTTGATATTCTAGCCAACTTGTAGCTTTATTCCTTAGCTTTTATTTCTGATCAACTTGACCATCACAGTTCTACCACGATAAATATCTCCAAACATTTTCTCCTTTGCTGCTTGAAAATGATCATCATTTAAACTTTTGTAAGGCTCAAAGTTACAATGAGAACTTATTTTCCTACAAGTTGGAATCGACACATCAAGTAAAATAATCAAAAAGAAAATTAATTTGGAAGAAGTAAAAATGAGAAATCAAATTACTTTTCATTTTTTTATTTGATTTAGATTTGATAGGTCGACCCATATCTCATCTCTATGATCATCTCTCATATACAAGTGCACCTCTTCAATTAAATTATTATTAAAAGATTTCATTATCCCATAAAAAGGATCATTTTCAATATTCATATCTTCATTACCTAGAACTTCATCATCATATTCATGCTTTTTGTTTGATAAAGTTACAATAGACCAATTTTTTTTTTCGCAAGATTAGGAGTAAAAAATTCTTGTTGAGCTTGCAAAGCTAAAATAAAATGGGCATCTTTATATCCAACTTTAGATAGATCCACTTGAATAAATTTGAAATCATCAATTCAGAATCTACTGTAATTGTTAAGCCACCTACATCCAAAAATGAGCACCCTAAACATAGCATAATCCAACTCCCATACACGTTAAATGACACCAAAGTATGACATTTTTGCATAGATAAGGTTAGTGTCTTTTAAATTAGATACATGTAAACCACTAGCAATAAGCATTACTTCACTATTTTGCATTATGCTTTGATCATCTTGTTCTTTAGTATAAAAAGTGTAACCATTGATAATATAACCAGTGTTAGATAAAACTTATAAACTTGGTCCTTTGGCCACCCATCTCCATTTTTTCAAAAACATTACCTAGATTTTTCCCCGACTTCTGAATGATGCAACTTTTAAACCACTTCAAAAAGTATTGATTATGTTCTTTTAATTTGTTACTAAGTTTCCAAAACCAAAGGTGTCTCTAAGAATTCCTTGTGTTCTTTCACAAATTGCTTAACTTCTTCTATGTTACGCAAAACATGTAGATAAGTTTGTTCACATTTAGCTGCTGAGATGCTAATAACTTTATTTTTGATTATTCCTTTCTTAGATCTTTGTCAATCATGGCAAGACTTTGGAATCCCTATAGCATCAACATTAGATAGATAAAATATACACAATTCAACTGCTTCTTGGACTATGTACTATTCATCAATATAACTCTTAGGTTGATATTTGTTTTTCACATAGCCTTTTAAAATTTTCATGTAGCACTCAATCAGATACATCCATTTTAAATAAGCTGGGCCACATATTTGAATTTCTTTGACCACGTGAATAGTAAAATGAACCATGATGTTAAAGAATGAAGGCGAAAAATACATTTCAAGTTCACACAAAGTTAAAACAACTTGCCTTTATAAGGCTGACAAATTTGCATGGTCAACCACTTTATTACAAATCATCTTAAAGAACAAACAAAGATTAGTGATAATGCATCGCACTTTCTTTAACAAAATCAATTGATTGGTAAGAAATTTTGTATGAGCACATGACAATCATGAGATTGAAGACCCTATAACTTCAAATCTTTCATTGATATAATGTTCTTTACATTGAAGAGTATCCCTCTAAAACTTTAACACTATGGAAAAACTCAAAAAAAGACTTTTTATCTTTGTTCGATAGTGTGCGTGTTGCTGGTGGTAAATAAGTACAATTTCTTTTGTTCACTAGAGCCAACTCTTCTCTTGTTCCCATGGAAAACAAATCCAATCTTGACTTAACACTATCCTTACTTTTTCCTAAAAATTGGAGTAACGTCCCAATCACAGTGTTACAAACATTTTTTTTATATGCATAACATCAAGAAAATGTCTAACATATAAAGACTTCTAATATGATAGATCAAAAAAATTAATTTTTTTCCAACCATTTATCGCAACATTTTTTGCAAAAGGTTTTCCAAAAATATGATTATTAAGGTCTTGTACCTTTTCAAATTCATTCATGTTTGTCAAAGGCCTAGGCAGTTTTCATTCTTCAGATTCACCGTTAAAAGCTTTTTTCTACTTCCTCCAATAATGTGTCAAAAGTAAGAATCTACAATATCTCATGTAAACATTTTTTTTACAATGAACCAACTATATTGAATGAGTGTCTTCACATAAAGGACTTGAAAAGCCCTAGTCATGTTAAGCTTCTCAAAGAAACTAAAGTGTAGTAACAGGAGCAACCTAGGTCATTTTATCCTCAAGTTGCAAGCATTGTGCAACCAAATCAATCCAATGATCATGACAAATTAAAATTTCAGAATTGAATTGAATAGTTTAAAAGAGAATTTAGATGTTTATATTTGATTTTAATGTGAAACAAGTAAAGAGAAAATGTGCAGAAATCAACCAATATATCAAAGTAGCTTCCCAAAGTTAGATTCCACCGCTTCCATCCTTATTTTTCCTTAATTCTAGATTCAATTATCTTTTTCAATTGGTGTGTAAAAGTGTCTTAATGACCATCAAAACTAGATGATAGTGATTAGAACCTAGTAATCACTTAGAATCTAATACAGAAACCATCCAAGATAGATACACTAATATGTGATTCAATTCTTAAAACTAGTCCTAACTCTTACATTGATCATGTTTAATACCTTAAACCAATCAAGATAATGGTATTAACTAGAGTATAAAACCTAAATAATAGATAATACATGTCAAAATAGCAAGAGATTGAAATGAAATTATGTATTCATTCATCAAAACCTTGAGGCATAAACACAAACACTAAAAGTGTACAACTAGTTTAAGAATTAAATACATATCATCTCCTCATTGGAACACGAATTTTAGCCATAATGATTAATCTAAGACCTAGAATCAATCATTAAGCGCATGAATTACATAATTAAAGAAGGAGAAGAGAAGAATTCAAAGCAATTGAAAGTAAGGGAAAAGGCTTAGGTGAACTCAAGATGTGGTTTCATCTTTCTTGGAAAGCTTAGAGAATCTAGCCTCTTATGGTGAATTTTTCTTAAATCCAAGTTTGAATCCTCCTTGAGATGATATCCATGGCTTGAATACTTGCTTGAGATGAAAGAATATGGCTAAGAAAGTGTGATAAAATGGAGGAAAATGAGAGAAAATTTGGATGAAATGGTGCTGGAAATTTCAAAAAAGTGAGAAAGAATAAGTGTGAAATGTAATGTGTAAAAATAGGTGAATGAATATGTGCACAACCCAAAACCCCTATCTTCAGCTTATGATGGTATAAAATGAATAGAATAGGATGGATTTTAAGTGATCAAAGCCATAAAATTTTAAAACTATTTAACAAACTTGGTTAAGAGGTTCAAGAATAAATATGGCCACCATTCAATTTAGGTTAACTTGGATGCACATGTAGCTCTTGTGAAATGCTCCATACTTGATTAGAACTCACTAAACACTTTTAAAAAGATAATCAAACGTGATTAGGGGATTTTTGGTCAAAATCCTCAATGCTTAGAGTCATTAGAATATTTTTGAATCAATTCTTGCACATGTGTTACTATAAAGTTTTCTTATTTCGTAGTTTGTCTTGTAATTCAATATTTTAGCCATCCAAATCCTTGTTTGCATATGTAATTATACACATAAGAATGATTAAAGCATGTGTGCAAAATTTAAAATCAAAACTCAAAGGCAATTGCAAGACCAAGATACAATGCCATTTTCAAGGTCCTAAGTTATAAAACATGACAACCTAGTATTGATGTCTTTCTCTTAAAAAATCCTATAACCTAAGTCTTTTGATGTCTTTTTGTAACTTAGAATAAATTTGAATCTCAAACTTATTTCATTGATCTTAACAAGACAAAAGATATAAACTAAGGTAATATTCCAAAATTGTCCAAAAATTGTCAAAATGACCAAAATACCCTTAAGCTATAAATGAACCCTAATTGATTTTAAAGGCCTAGCAATACCTAAACATGCAAGAATCGAGTTCCCAAGGATGCAATAGTGTAAGAAAATTATCATAAAATGTATGTGAATAATTAAATATGTTAGACATGCACCGTGTCCTTTGATGTTATATTCTGATAGATTGTCATAAGTAAGGAAATCATTAATTGTGCCAAATAACATAGCTTTCAAAGTGAAACTTTCTTTTCTATATCCATTATAAACCTCCACACTGATGTCCCATATTAACTTTAAATCCTCTATTAAATGAGCTAAATATATATCTATATCATTGCCCAATTGTTTAGGCTCAGAAATTAATATAGACAACATCATAAACTTACATTTCATGCATAACCATGGAGATGAGTTGTAAATTATTAATATTACTGGCTAGATGCTATAAGTACTACTATGAATATTGTGTGGATTGATTTCATTAGTAGACAAAGCAAGCCGAATGTTCCTTTCTTCATCCCCAAAATTAAGGTGCTCAAAATTATTTTTTTTTCCATTAAGGAGAATCTATAGGATGCCTAAATTTGCCATCTTTAATCCTTTTATTTTTATGCCATTTCAACAGGTTGGCAGTTTTTGCATTTTCATACATGTGCTTAAATCTCAGTGTAATGAAAAAATACCATAACACCTTTATAAGCCTTGATTTCTTTACATATCATGATGCTTCACATTCGGGGCACTTCTCTAACATAGTATACTTTTATCAAATATCCAATTTCAATCCATACCCTCTACCTATTATAGAAAAAGTTAAGTACATGACTTCTTGGCATTGTCTAACATAGTCTACTAATATTTCTTAAAAAAAATTGACAACATAACAGCTTAAAAATAAAAATTATTGTAGCTGTCAAACCCTTTATTCAACACTTGCAATATCTAAAAACATTAACGCAGCATTTTTCATTCCAATCAAAATAATTAATAAAATTAAATTACAATGAATAGTAAAAATAGCAATTAAATCATGCTATAGACTATAAACTAATACGTATGCAATTAAATAACTCATGCAAATCAACACATAATTATCCAAATTTAAACAAAAATAAATAATTAATAAAATAAAATTAGCAAGTACCTTATATAATATATTTCAGATTTCAGATTTAAGCAATAAATAATAAAATAAATTCAGATATATATATATATATATATATATTTCTTGTGTATATATATATGTTTATATTATATGTTCAGATTAATAAAATAAAAAAATTAGCAAGTACCTGGATGACAGAGCTGCTGGAACTTTAGAAGTTGATGAGAGCTTGAAGATAAACCACTAGTTGTATGGTTTTGAAGAAACTAAGCCCCAACCATAAAAAAAAAAAAAGAAAAAAAAAAGCTCATGCAAATAAAGACATAACTATTCAGATTCAAACTAAAATTAAATAAAAAATAAATTTTACCAGGAGAAAGTGAGTAGACCACGAGCTTGTTGGGTCCTGAGGAAAAGAAGCGAGAAAATAAGGGAAGTTGGATCTTCGAATTGAGACAAGAAGAAGATGAAGGATGAAGGAAAAATAAATGGATCTGGTGGGGGCCTCTATCGCGAAGAAAGGGAGCTGGAGGAAAGAAAAGTGCAGCATGATGAGTGGGGACAAGACAAGAAGAAGCTGAGAGACAAGAGTGACTTAAGAGAAAGCTTGAGCTGAGAGAGACGAGGGGCGAGAACGGCAGCTGAGAGACGAAGGGCGAGAATGAGCTGAGAGACAGAGCTAAAGGACGAGTGGCGGCGAGAACATAAGCTGAGAGATGACAGAGCTAAGAGGGACAGAGGAAAGCCACGGGTTTCGGACCCTTATGTCAGGTCTCACGTCCAAAGAATTCGAAAAAGTCCTTACTATATAAATAGATGTAGTGCATATCTTAATAAGTTAACCCTTTAAAAAAAAGTAATGGCTCTATAATAAAGTAATATTAAAATCAGACCTGAATTTGCTCAATCCGTGGGCGCCTTTGGTGGGCCACCTGTGATGGGGACATCACGGATTGGCCAAAGAGAGTTATCAGGTCCCACATCAAAAAGATTTGAAAAAGATCTTGACTATATAAGTGGGTGCACGATACATTTCAATGAGCTAACCTTTTAATGAAAGAGTAATGGTTATGTGATACTTAACTCAAAATTTAATTTAAAAAAAAAAAAAACGAAGGTGGCATTTGGAGCATCAGGAAACGCCATTTCTATGGTCCAAACGCCACCTCTGTCCTTTTTTAATTTATTATTATTAATATCATTTAATTAGTTATTTAATTGTTATTAATTATATATTATTTATTTATTTATAATTTATAATTTATATTATTTATTTATTACTAATTATTTATATTGTTTAAAGTATATTATTAATTATGATTAAATATTTAGTAATAATATAATAAATTGTATTATTACCTAAAGGGACAAAGTGAGACCAGAAGTGGAGAGAAACAGAGGTGGAGAGATGAGAGTGAGCTGAGAGAAATAAGAGTAAACTGTAGGACGAGCTGAGAGTAGGACGGATTAATTGCACATTGGAAGTCTTGGACATGGAAGTTTCAGGCTGATTAATTGGAGAAAATTCAATTTTTTTTAAAAAAAAAAAGATTGAGGTGGCGTTTCAAGTGAAACAATCGCCACCTCTATCAAATTTGTTATATATTATTAATTATTATTTTTACAATTTATATTATTTATATTATATTATTTAGTTATTTATATATTATTAATTATTTATATTATTTAGTTAGTTATTTTGTATTATTACCTATTGTTAATTATTTATTTAAGTTTTCAAAAGCTCAAATTATTTTTATTAATTATTACTCTTCTTAATTGTTAATTTTATTATTGATAAAATTATATAATTGTAATTATTAAAAAGATAAAATTAAAAGGCCACGTCTTCTTAGTTATTATATACTAAAAATTTCTTATTATTTTTAACAAATTATTTTCATTAAATGATAAAAAATTTAATAATCATTATTTAATATTTATAAATTTTATAAAATACACTAAATTATAAAAGCCTTAAATTTGAAGAGACTCTCTAATTTATAAAATATTTTAATTTTTATGACATAATAAATATTAAAAAATAACAAACTTATAAAAAAATTATTAATTTAGTTAAATATTATTAATAAATGATAAATTTAACTAATATTCATTATTTAATAACTATATATTCTAGAAATTATTATAAATAATTAAAAATTTTAATTTTAATGGAGAGGTGGCATTTTTTACTCCTGAAAATGCAACCTCTCTTGTTTTAATAAAATGCTTACTATTTATCATTAAAAATAGAAAACTTACTATAAATTCTTATTAATTTATTTAATTATTATTATTAAATGATATATTTATCTAATATTCAATATTTAATAACTACATATTTTATAAATTAAATAATTATTTTAAAAACTAAATTTTAATAGAGAGTTGGCATTTTTATGACCTGAAAATTTCATCTCTCTCATTTGAATTTAATTTATTTACTATTTATTATTTACTAAAAAATTTAAATTCTAATATCTTTTAAATAAAAATGTGATTAAATAATTTTAGTGAGATATTTTCTTCAATTAAATTATAATTTTTTTCTTTGCATTGGATAATATTATTTGTTAATATAACTATAAAACATATCTAACTAAGAGGCCACCTATCTTCTTAGTAATTAAAAACTAAAAATTTCTTATTATTGTCAATTCATTATTATTATTAAATAATAAAATATATAGAAATTAGTATTTAATTATATATATTTATACAATCAATAAGAAGAGAGAGGTGGCGTTTTTAGAATGTGAAAATACCACCTCTCTCATTTAAATAAATTTTTGTACTTAAATAAATTATCAAAGTAGAGAGGTCGGTAATAACTGAAAACGCTACCTATCTGATGTTAATTATTAAATAATTTTAGATATTAGATTTTATTAAATAATTACAATAAAATAATAATTTAATTTGATAAATTAAATTAATAATTTTTTAACATATTAGAGGGGTGGCATTTCCTATCTCCATAAACGCCACCTCACTTGTTTTAGTTATTAAATAATAATAATATATATTATATTAATTATAAAATTAGAGCGGTGGCGTTTTTAAAATCTGAAATTGCCACCTTTCGTTTTTTATTGATTAATTAATAATTATTGTTTCTTATTAAATATCATTGATAGGATGATTATTTAATATGCTCGAATCCCTTGTAACCTCACGCTTAAATCATTTTGAAGTGAACCTAACCTTTGAGCCTTACTGCTAATGTGTTCACATGTAACAGCCCCTCCAATACAGCCGTGAATTGTACTATGACAAGCTAATTAAGAGAATTAAATGCTTCACGGAAAAGTGACCTTTTTTTTTTATATATATATTCTTAGTACATGGTACGCAATATTTTTTGAAGGAAAACATTGTAGGAAAAAAAAAATACACTTTAACCCGAACCCTATTAATTTTAGTGATCTAGCCAAAAAAATCTTTAAAAAAATCAACATTATTAGAACGACTATATATATATTGCCCTTAAACATTTTATGTATGTAGGGACAGAATTATAAATTATTTTACTCACTAACAAATGTATTAAAATGATTCGGAAGCCAGAGCTTCATGATGATTATTGGGCTAAGATCAATAATTTCATGTTTTATCATATATTGTATATTTGCCCTATATTCTAAAATTTCTAGACCTGCATGCCCCATATTTTATAAGTTTTTATAATTTGTTCATAAACATAAATATCAGCTTATTAACTACATATGGTATATTGTTAATAGTTACTCTTCTGATCTTATTTATAAGTCACTTCCAATACATTTCACTAATATCAAGAAAAACTTTAAAACTCATTGACCCTGTCTTAAAATTTAATAAATTCTCAACTTTGTCTCTATTAAATATATATATTTCAATAATATAATTTCTCTCTCTAACATTCAATGGAGGGTAAAAGAGAAAATTTGTTATAAAAATTTAATGATGTAACTTATAAATAAAATCAAAAAAACTCCACTCTCTCTATTTTATAAATAGGATCAAAAAAAGTAAATGCTTTAATTTGTTACACTAGAGTAAGACTTGTACAACACTATAAAGATAATCAAGTATTTTCTCTCAAAATCTTATTTTTTCCAATCACAATAGGTGCTGTGAAATTCAAATTTTTATGGCTCTTAGATGGTATTTTCTCTTTAAAAAAAACAAAACGTAAGACACTAACACAATATCTATCACCACTCTTCTGAACTTTACAAAGTCATTGTGAAGACATTCAATTTGAATGTCCCATATCAGTAATTAAAATTAGTGTTGCAATATTATTGTCATACGACACTTTAAATAAAGAAAATTAATTGAAAAAAATAATATTTACTAATGATAAAACAATTAGACCATCCGGCTGTTCGAATAAGAAACTGATGAATGGATTCATGCATGGTTCGATCCACAAATATTATAGTATTAATTTGTCGGCGTTATGCTCCTACAATATTAAAAAGTCAATAATATCTCATAATCGAATGTAGAACCGAAATGCACCTAACAATAACAACATTAATTATAATTAGTACACGTTGCAATGAAAATTAAACCTCGCAATAACTCGTACTAGCTAATCAGTTGGAGTTGTTGAAATTTTCAGAGTTAATATTCTTTTATTTATATGTGTTGCCAAGTGCCAACTCATATTAGGCAGGCCTAAAGGGCTAAAACGCTTGAGTCTACCAAATAATTTATTGTAGGTTGATCACATCAGTATCTACAGAAAATACAATTTGATTGGAATTTAATCCATTAAAGTAAATAACGGTCCCATCAAGGAGCTGGATTATCCTAATATTTTAAGAATCGGATAGATAAGGTGACACAGAACAAAGTGACTGTAAATATAAAAAGTATATTTAATTATATACGTTTACATGATTGCGCACCCAAAGCAATTTCCATTGCTTAGTTATGTGTTAAGTTATTTCTTGTACCTTTACTGGGGATCACTGGCACTAATATTTAATTAATTATATCAAATCAGTTTAATAATTTGCAGATAGTAATAAATCAATGATAGAGAAAATGGAACAGAAGAACTTATATTTCTGACATATACAGCACGTGGATCACAAGGACTCCAAGTTTTTTTTTTTTCATTATTAGGTCACAACAAAATGGTACAAAGAGATTAAAATCTAATCATCTCTAAAATCACAAGGTTTCTACAATTATGTGGAGGAACATCAAAAATTATAATATCAAAAGTATCACGTGATGATCAATGGGCTAATAAATTGACACATTTATTTACTTTCCTATAAATATGGTTAAAGGTGACAATTCAATCACTCATAGTAAGTTTTTTAATCTTCTTGATAGTGTCAAATAACAGGTGACTCTTAGGTAGTGTTTGGTTGAAGAGGAGGGGCTCCCCTCCCCTTCTTTGGTAAGATGGAGGGGAGGGGAGATTTCTTAAAATTTTCCCTCCCCTCCAAAACTCCCCCCCCCCAAATTTAGGAGATGCCCCCCTCCCCTCCCCTTCTCTCCCTTCCCCTTGAGCCAAACAAAGCCTTAGGATATGTGTTGTAATGAGTGACTACACCTCCATCAAATCAGAATAGATATTGAATCTTGGTAATTTTGCATTCCAACAAAGGTTTAGACCCTTGAAGATTCTCATGAATTCTGCTACTGTGCTAAATTGATATTCAAGATATTTAAAAAATTCTTTAATTCAATTTCCATTATCATCTCTAATGGTGCCTCTATAGGCAACGACACCATTAATGTTAATAGAGTCGTTAGTGTTATGTCTAACCCATCCAGATTTACTATGGCATTCATTTATCATCATTTGTAGAGTCTCTTTTGCCCAAGTGAGTCATTTTGGATACAAGGACTTGAAGTTGTTAGTTGTCTCCCTACCCAAGTCCATGGTCGAATACTTCCTAGTGTCCACTGCGAGGTAATTAATATGCATTATTCTTTGTTTATGTGTTTCATATAAGCTAATTTTACTCTAGTTAACGATATAGTGCTATCTATATAGGTTAACAGTTCCAATAATGTAGATCTACCTAAGCCGAGGAGGAAAATTGTGAGTCTCATTTCTTAGATATGTTGAGGTTATGAATGGATGAGAGCTACATTTATGGCATTATATAGCTTTATCCTTTTCTGACTGCGAGGACGATGATTAGCAAACTTTTCTTGGGTGAGTTTGTGTACATATTCCCCCGGGCTTCTCTCTCTCTCTCTCTCTCTCTGTTCTATTTCCACGCCTTGCTTTGATGATTACATTTTTTTTTTGGCCAACTTGATGATTACATATAATAAGGGAAAGGAAGAAGAATGCATTAGGATAGAGAAACATTTTAATATCTTATTTCCTTCGCATGCATCTTCATGCTCCGATGTATCAAAACCGTTCATCTTCTTTGTTTACTCTTAGAAATTTGTTGGCCTTGTCTGCAATACTTCACAATGGTTTGTAAAATTTAAGTAGTTGTTTCGTTACTTAGGTTTTTATGGTTTCTTTGTAGGTAAATGATGAATTTCTGTTAATTGATGTGAGCTCAATTGTTGGAAAACTTCCTTTCTTTTACATAGTTCTTCTATGACTTGACCATGTTGTTAAATGTGAGAGTACATACTTAGGCATAACTTAAAAAGTTATAAATCAATTTGTGCGTGGCTTATGACTGATCTGTCTCTTGTGCGTGTTAGTATATTAGCTGTAACTTTTACTCAATATTCTTAAACGAGCTATATATATATATATATATATATATTAATAACATCATAAGTTGTGCTGGTTTATTCAGTGAATAACTTCATGTGTGCACCTATTGATGATTGCAAGGTAGAAGCATCCTCAATGTTGATTATATTCTGATGAAAGTTCATATGCATACAAATTGTGAATGCATTTTTGGATTGAGTAAAATATATCTCTATATGACTTTTGAAAGTTTATATATGGAGAGTATTAATGATTTTACAAGCTAGTAGTAGCAGCAGCAGCAATAGCAATAGTCGTAGTAATAATGGTGGTGGTAGTCGTAGTAGCAATAGTAGCAGTAGCAGTAGCAGCAGCAGTAGTAGTGATAATAGTGATAACAGCAACAGCAACAGTAGCAGTAGTGGTAGTGATAGTAGTCGTAGTAGTGATGGTGGCGGTGGTAGTAGTAGCAGTAGCAACAATAATGTAGTAGTAAGAGTAATAGCAGTAGGAGCAGTAGTAGATAGTAGTAATAGTAATAGTAGCGGTCGTAGTAGTAGCGGTAGTGATAGCAGTAGCAATAGTAGTAGTAGTAGTAGAGCAGAGCAGTAATAGGAGCACAGCAGCAGTAGCAGTAGCAGTAGTAGTAGTACAAAACTTATAGTAGTAGTAGTAGTAGTAGTAGTACAAAACTCGTAGTAGTAGTAGTAGTACAAGGTTTTGTTACGTTTCTGGAAAGTATTACCTTTCATTCTTTTGCAAATACATATATGAATATGAAGGCAAATTTCTACTAAGTGACCAAATCATCATACTCTGAAGCAAATTGCCGTGTAATGATTTTACTATCTTTATTAATTTCTGTCAATATGTGAATCCCTTAAAGTTTTTTGTGTTTAGCTTTTGTCAAATGTAGAAGGGAATGATTCATCCTATTCGTCTACTCAGATCGATATATATATACACACACATAAAGAGCTTATATCATATCAAATCATGTATACTTCATATTTCAAAATAATAAAATATTAACTAACAAGATATTTACAAATCAGATTGCATATCTCTCACTAATACTCTCCTTGAAGTTGCTATGTGGATGTCTCTCATACACAACTTGTTGATTTTATCTTTAATACTCTGCACTGATGAGACTGCCTTGGTCATAATATCTGCCAGTTGGTTGAGCTATTTCAACTGTTGCTTTATTATCACAATGTAGGTTTATTGGTGTGTTGTAGAGGATGCCCAGGTCTCGTAATACCCTTTTAATCCATAGTAATTCACACACAACATGAGCCATGCATCCCTCTAAACTCTACTTCTATAATTGACTTTAGTATTCACATTGACTATAAACAATGCATCTTCTAATGAAACAGCTTTGTCATATTTGAAGGGGAGGATAAGAGCTTGGAAGGACTTAGTATGTGGGGGTGATTACATACATTTGAGATATTGTGCATGTATACTAAATTTAGTGGTTATTGAAAGCTTAAAGAAGTTGAAGGACAGCTTTGATGCAATTTGAAACGCAGTGAGATATGCACGTTCCTCTCGACGATTATCCAAATTTAAGAAATGGGCTAAAGAGGAAAATATAAAGACAAAAAGTTTTGTATGCATGAATATTTATATTTGTTGGAATTCTACCGACTTGATGCTATAAGCTGCCTTATAGTTTGAAAGAGTGTTTGATAGGATGTATCATGAAGATGATGATTATAGTGCATACTCTAAGATAGAAGATAATGAAAGGGAAGGTGATCGTCACTCTTTTAGGTGCCTTATCCAAAGGACCTTTGATTGGATTAATGCCTATACATTTATCAAGTTCTTGAAAGTATTTTATGGCATAACTTTAATGTTCTCAAGCACAACTACTGTCACATCCAATTTGTACTTCCACCAAATTACTTGTATCCAGAAGTTGGTACAAAATAATATTGTTAATGCTTATCCACTTGGAGAAATGAGCATGAGAATGCAAATCAAATATGACTAATATTGGGAGAAGACAAATAATATGAATCCATTACTAATAATTGATGTGATTTTGGCTTCTAGATACAAATTGGCTTACGTGAATCATGTGTTTGACCAAATTTTCCATGACCTTGAAGTTTGTGGGAACATGAAGCAAAAGGTAAAAGATTGCATTTACCACATTTTTGAGGAGTATTTAGCAAGTCTTTCTTCTCAATCAAGTGTTTCCTCCATGTCTAGTGATGTAGGCCCTAGTGCAGGGTTGCCTTTTCATGTGCATAATGATGATAATGATGACCCAAGTCTATAATAATGGCTAGAATCTCCATCCCAGAGGACATCTCTTAACCCTTAAAAATCTGAGTTGGACAAATATCTAATAATTGATATAGATGATGATATCTCCTCTGGCTCTATCAAGGATTTTAATATATTGTCATGGTGGAATGCAAATGCCATAAAGTATAAAATTTTGTCTTTGATGGCAAGAGACATATTAGCACTCCCTCTTTCAATAATTGCATTTAAATCTACATTTAGCACTGGAAGGAGGATTGTTAATCAATAGAAAAGCTCATTATCACCTCACATGATTGAAGCACTTACATGTGCTCAAAATTGGCTTAACCCATGGCAATCTATCTTAGAAGTTACTACTATGTTGTGTGAGTTTGACAACTTTAAGGAGACACAAGATGTTGTTCAAGTTGGTAATGTTTTTGGTTTAATTTGATTTTTATGTATTATCTAGTGTTTTATAATTTTATATTTCTTGTTGTATTTTCAAATATTTCCACTGCCATTGTCACGGTCAGTGAGGGAGCAACATGAAGTGGTTCACAAACCATTGATGATTGAGGTCAAATGGTCTTATGGGTGGTCCACTAGTCCTATTTGAATAGTTCCCGCTTTTTATTATTTACATCTATGCTTTATTTTGAGTATGGATGTTAGATGATTGTATTTTGATGAAAGATTGGATATCATGGGTGGTCATATTGGACTATATTTTAATGGAACTATGGATGATTATGTTCATTCAGATGATTATATCTAATTATGACTATATTAATATTATATTATGCATGATTGTAGTTGGAGACTCTGAATTTATGAATGATTTTTTTTGTGGTATTTTTTTCTTCAGGTCAAAATTTTCAACCATTTTGATTTGCATCAAGGTTTGAATTTATTTTTTTTTCTTCATATTTGAATTTTATTGCTTCAAATTTCAATTTTTAGGTGTTATTTTGTTAAATTTTTTTGTTTATAGGTTCAACTTTTTGTTATATTTTTTTCATATTGGTTGCCTTTTTATTTCAATTTTCTTTCCAATTTTCTTCCTCTCATCAGACATATTGATTTGAATTTTCAAGTTAGTATAACATATTTTTGTTACATTTTTCTTATTGATTGTCTGCTCCTTCTTTCCAATATAGATATTGTATGTATTAGCTTATTTCTTTTCCATTTACACTATTGGTCCAAGGTGACAAGGTCCAAGGCCCAAAGCACCCAAGTTTTTTTTTTTTTTTGTTTGGGGGGAGGGAACAAGTGCTATACAAACAAACCAGCCTGACCTTACCGTAATGCCCTCCCAACCCTAAAAATCTCAGGCAATCTTCGAGCATAGTCGAGTATTGGGTTAATAAACACAGCCAATCTATTTTTAGGGTCAGGCTTTAAGTTAATTGTTAGCCTGATTTGACCCTACCCATGTTCAAGCCTAATTAACAAGATTTGTAGTAGTAGTTGAAATAATTGACTTATTATTATTATTATTATTACAATTAAAAATATATTGTAAGATTTGTTACACCTTCCCTCTAAGACTTTCAAAATTTTCTGAGCTGAATGTACATCTTGTCATCTGGAACATGCTTTTCATTAATTACCTTTTGCTTGTTAAAGGCATTACGTTTGGCCTCACTAATGAACAAATTAAATCACCAACCTAAAATGACAAGATTATGGGATCAACATTATCAAATATATTTTCAGGACAGTACGGAAGGATACCTTAACCTGTTAACCCAAGCTTTAGGGATATTCTTGATTCAGGCCTTTCAAAGACTTCTTTTATTTCTAGACTTCGATTTTATTTGCAATGGGGAAAAAATAGGAAGGAGAAAAATTATAAAAGAGAATTTAAAAAATGATATTTTTTTTATTATTGTTTTCCCCTAATTTTTCTCTAGATAAAGGGAAGGAAATGTCTTTTTCTTCTACTTTTTGACAGTAAAGCGACCAATTTGTTCAAACCCTTTTTCTTTTTTTGTCTTTTTCTCATGAATTTTGCAATATTATCAAACCAAATATCTAATTGAGACGTCCCATGATGTGTTTTATAGAACTCAAGACTATAGTACTAGTCACAATTATCTATTAATACAGACTTCAGTAGTAATACTGTGTGTGTTAGTGTTAACTTTTGTTTTCCCTAACCAAATTTGCGATGTCCTCATTAGAAGAAATTATATATAGAAGTTACAATAATTATTTTGTTTTCCCGAGAGTAACCCCATTGGGAAAATACACACTCAAAAGTTTTGATTTTGTCCGAGCACAAGTAAAATATTATCAAAATTGTGCTTGAGAGGGGAGAAAAGTAAAAATAGAAAAGTAAAGTGAAAAGAAAAAGTATCATTTTTTCCCGCTTGGTTAAGAAGAGAAAAATAGGAAGGAGGGGCAAAAATTAGAAGGAAAATAATATATGTGTCCACTTGCTATTACCTCTGACTTTTTTTTTCAAATATGAGAAAATTTTGGAGAGAAAACTCAATTTTTTAATTTACCCATGAATATTTTCATTTCTAGCTTGTGGCCCTCTATTTACATCCTAAATTTCTCTCCACTTTATAATTTAGATTATTATATATTTAATAATTTAATAAATTAAAATTAAAATTGGAAAAAATGCATTTTTTCCAGCCTTGGATAAAATAATTTACAATTATTTTTTATTCAATCAATAATATATAATAAAAATTATACAAATAATATATTAAAATATTAAATTTTATCATATATAAATAATTTTTACAAATAATAAGGTTATTATTGTTTATATGAAATTTACAATTTTTTTCTTCCTCCTATTTTCTCTTGCCTAGCTAAATATAAGAAGAAAAAATTACATTCCTCCATTTTTCTCCTCTCTCCATTTGCTGTCCTCTCATTTTCCCGTCTCCCTATTTTCCGTTGTTAGCCAAATACTGCATGAAGAAGTTTTCTCCTTTCTTCCTTGAAACAACAATAATGGTACTCTTAATGTATAGCTGATAGCATTATTGCTCCTTTAATTTCCCAGTTTTTGACGTTTATTTTTTAGCGGTTATCTGTTAAGTAGGTTGAGAAATACTTTTCATTTAGTCTTTTAATAAAATTATATTTTTACTAATTAAATAAACTCATATTTCATCTTCAAAAATTTCTCACTTAGCTTATTGCATCCTTTTTGTTGAAATTAATTGTGATTAAGTAACTTGGATTATAGCATGAGTGGCAGAGATCATTCTAATCATTAAGCAAGCTTTAAGGGTTTAATTCTCAACTTGTGTATAAAACAAACCTAATTATGGAAGAAATTTACCATTTACTTTCATCATCTATTTGTGATCTTATTA